GTATCAAAAGTAGAGCCAATACAGTAACTATAGTCATTAGCATCATTCATTGCTTCTACTTTGTTGGGGTTTTTTTTTATTTTTTGTGTTTTTTGATTTTGGGGCTGCACCCTGCTGTCTCAGGTCATATTCCTGGCTCTATGCTCAGGAGTCTCTTAAAAATTTTTTTAATTGAATTACCATGAACTATAAAGTTGCAAAGATATTTGTGATTGAGTTTCAGGCATACAGTGTTCCAGCACCAATTTTCCATCAGTGTCCCCAGTTTCCCTCTTATCCCCCAGCCTGCCTCTGTGACAGGCACATTTCCCCTCTGTAATTGTCCTAGTAATCTCAGGGATCACTCTTGGAGAGGCTCGGGATGGTGGAGATCCAATCTGGGTTGGCCACTGCAAAGCAAGCATTCACTGTGCTATCTCTATTATGTGATATTCCAGAAACTGTGCAGTCATGAAATTAGTCCTTAGCCTTCTTGAGCAGTGTGATTAAATCTTCTTCCTCATAGCCCTTAGGATTCCTACTGTGGTGCTGACCTGAAGTCTTTCTTTGGTTTTCTTACTAAAAATTTCAGGCATTAATGCCATCGTTTTCCATGATCAGGCTTATGTTGTCAACGCTGAATGAAGCCAAACTCTGAGTTAGAAATACAGTTGCCCAAGCAGAATTCATCTTTGACATGCCCAACCTTTCCCTTAACTTCAAACAACTTAACCTTCCATCCTTTGTTTTTTGGGCCACTTCTGGCATGCTCAGGGCATAATCTTGGTGATCACAGGGGGAGATATGGAGTACCAAGGATTGAACCCTGGTCAGTGGCATGCAAGGCAAACGCCTTACACAATCACTGTATTGTCTCTTTTCTCTTAAATATCTTTGACTCATTATTTCCTCCTCCTATCTCATTATGTCTTTTTTTTTCTTTTTGGGTCACACCCAGCGATGCTCAGGGGTTACTTCTGGCTCTGCACTCAGGAATCACTCCTGGCATTGCTTGGGAGACCATACAGGAGGCCGGGGATCGAACCTGGGTCAGTCGCGTGCAAGGCAAACACCCTACCTGCTGTACTGTCATTCCCGCCTCTCATTATGTCATATATTGTCTAACCAGCCTCCTTGCCTCCTTTTAATACCCCTCACTCATCACTGCCTCATTGTTGTTAGGGCTACATTCTTAAAAAATGAAACTTCATTTTGTGTCCTCCCAGTAATTTTCAGTGGTGCTCTTCTCTCCTGCCTCCTCTAAAGGATTTTAGAGTCATCTGACCCATTGCACTTCCTGCTGTTCCTGCAAGACTTTTCATGTGGATGTTCCTTGCCTTTTGTATTTTTTATTTAAAAATTTGGTGGTGGACCATTCCCAGTGTTGCTTAGCGAGTCCTAGGAGCTATTCTGGGAGTACTGGCAATGCTTGGGTGTGTGGTCCTGGACTGATAGTTCAGTGCTCTGGCCTGATGGTGCTGTGCTTGTCGCCACAAAGCTACACCCAGGAGTTATGGAGATGGAACTCTCCAAGATACATTTGAGCTCAGGCCAGCACCGTATCTTGCACATGAATTCATATACTGCCCAAAGTTCTGGGAGGCTGGCCATGCCATCCTCCTTTTAATGCCATTGTGTGTGTATACATATATATTTAATTTGTTCTTCTTAAGGTTTCCTTAAAAGAGGGGTAGCATATTTTCTGTTCATAAATCTATAATGTGATATTTGATATTTGATATTTCATAGGCCCATAAATAAGGCCCCAAGATGCACTTGCACCTTATTTTCATTTTGAGAAAATCCCATCCTCTTCCAACCTGAAGCAGGCCCCGCCTAGGCTGCATGCATCCAAGATGATAGTCCAGAACCTTTCCTCGGTGAAGGAGCCAGTCCCCCACAGTGAGGGACAGGCAGCTGACTGGGTTAAGAAGAGAGAGCAGCTCCTGGAGACTGCTTTATAGGGAAGGCCTGGGGGAATGTGCACAGATATTCCTGGAATAAATTTTCCACAACTTGCAGCTGCCTGAAGTAACAGCTGGCCCCCGAGGATGTGTAAGTTCTAGAACAGTGAATTTGGATCATTGTCACCATGGACCTTGACACTGATTGGGGCTTATGGGCCTGTCGCTACCCTGGGCCCCTTTTTCCTCCTGGAAGGGGATAGCTTGGCATCCAGTTGGTCCAGCTCAAAGTTCACTCCTGGGTTCTGATTTCAGGAGGTTCTACTCCAGATCAACCATCGAGCTGGAGGCCTGACCCTGTCCTCATCACTGGCCAGACCGCTGCAATGAAGTGCCTGCTGTGACACACCTGAGGGGCAGGCTAGGCCCTGAGGAGAATGGGGGGTTGCTTACTGAGTCCCCCACGATGGGCCTTGGCATATGGGACTTCCAGGTGTTTCTTGTGACAGGCTTCTTCAGCCCCTGTCTGCAGCACCCTATCCCAAGAAGTAGGACTTCTTTAGAAAGAGTGGTTGTGATTGTGCTAGCAGTATGTGGGGCCTGATTCCTCCAGTCTCATGCCCAGCACATCCCAGTGCAGCCTCCTTATACCCCACTATCTGGCTCTGAACACGCCATCTGTCCCCTGGTTGAAACTACTCATGTGCACCACCTGTTTACCTACAAGCAAAAGCCCAAGAATTCATCCAGCCCCATCAGGAGGACATGTGTGGGTGGGCCTTCGGGTTTAGGGGTGGTCACAGACTTAGGACCTGCTTGTGGAGCACTGGAAACTCCAAGGAAGACAAGCTGCATTCTGTTAGGCCCCATAATAGTTGGATACTCAAGGTCACGGTTACGGGAGGTCACGGTCGATTTGCTGAGCGGGCCCCGTAACATTGTGAGGCTTGTTACTGTGTTTGGCATATCGAATATATCACGGGAAGCTTGCCAGGCTTTGCCGTGTGGGTGAGATACTCAAGGATTTTGCCTAAAATGTCACTATTGGGTGAGAGATCCGTAAAAGGAGCTTGGTGGGATAGAGACCATTGTGACAGCTAATGGGACCTGGGGGCTGCAGAACTGGGGGAATCACACTTGGAGCCAGGGAGAACCAGAAAGTTTATTTTGACAAGATACATTATAGTCATAGAAATGTGCATATTGGTTGTATATATGCCAAGTTACACAAATTTTGATGATAATGAAATTTGTTTTGATTGAGTACTTACCCTGTGCCAGGCACAATGCATAATACTTTATATTCATTATAACATCTATTCGTGTATATTATTTATATTTTATAGATTAGGAACCTAAGGCAAAAAAGATGGAAGCAACATGATTAAAGAGCCAGTTAGGGGCAGCCACTATGCAGATGTAGGTATCTGGTTTCTAAGTCAATTCTGTTACTAAAAATTATGCTGAAAATTGAAAATGGGGAAAAATTTGATTAACTGAAAAGTAGATCCTGAAACTAAAAATGGAAAATATTCTACTTGTGTAAGAAAGTATTCTCTGCTAGTTATTAATATAGGTAATGTGCTCTCTTTTATTTTCAGTTCCAACATCTATTTTTAGAAGGACAAATTTCTTTCCACAATGAATTTAAAGCACAGAGTATATTCTCATCGAGGAATAATAATGATAACATGTCTCCCTCTGGACTGCTACAGAATCTTTGAAATTATAGTTAGCATTTGACAAAGTTTTGTTTTGATTGGACTGCAGAGGGAAAGTGCTACACAAACCACAAGCATAGTAATTTATAGTTCTCCTGTGTCAGAATGATTTATGTAAAATAGGAATTTTCATTTCAAAATATACCTGTGGCAGCAGACACAGAAACAGCCCTTGTCTCGGATGCTTCCGTGCCCTGAAATCCTAACGAGGATGGGATCCAGAGCTTTGCAAGAGGTTTCAATAATTCCGAGAAGTATACTTTCTCCCAGTAATAGTGTGGGCCTTTTTTTTAAAAAAAAAATAAAGTCAAAACCTAAGTAATATTTTTAAGTTAGTTTTCAAATTTACATTAATTCATTAAAATAAGCAATGAGAATAACACTGTACTATAACATTACATAAGTTTCTGGTGTGCATCACTATAATTCAACCGTGTGTCTGTAAGCTCCTCATGGAAGGACCAGTCTTATCTCTCACCATACATACAGTTGACCCTTTTTACTTAATTTCTCCATCCCTACCCCTCTTCCCTTTTGGTAATCATTAATTTGTTTTTTTCTGTCTAAATGCTTATTTTTGTTTTATTTAGTGTAATCACTTATGTGTTTCTCTATAGTCTGCATCTGAGTGGAACCATATGGTATTTGATTTATTTCACTAAGTATATTACCCTCTAGGCACATCCATATTGTTGTAAATAGGATTTCATGTATTTGGGGGGAGGGGTTACATCTGGTGCTTGGGAGCTCCTCCCCTCTGGGTGGGAGTGAAGGACCGTGGGGACCAACCCAGGGCTACTGCATGCAAAGTATGTACTCCAATCCTTAAATCTGTCTTCCTGACCCAGGGTTTCATGTTGTAGAGATAAACAGTATTCATCCACATCTTCCTTGTTCATTATTTGTTGTCTTTTTAAAATCGTATTTTAGGTGCCATGATTTACAGTACTGTTAACAGTATGATTTCATGCCTAAATCATCCCAACACTATACTCTCCACCAGTGTCTGTTTCCCTCCTCCATGTCCCAGCATTGTTTCCCATCTCCCAACCCTGTCCCCATCCTATGTTCTATTCCTTACCCATCCCACCTGCTGTAATTATTTTGGGGATAGTCCAAATTCTCTTGATATTATCTTATTAAATGATTAACGTCAGAACTGTTAACCTCAAGTACATCACTTGCTGTTGGGAGTTGCAAGACATATAGGCTTTGTAGTTTTTTGATTTCTCAAGTACAAGCCTGAACGTGCCCTTCTAGCCTTCTGACCTAATTTAAGCAGGGCTCCATATATTACCTTCCATAACAAATTGTAACAATTAGCATTGGTTTTTATTTTAAACTTTGTCTAATTGGAAGATGTAAAAAGATGCCTTTTACTCCTTTTCTCTTTCAGCCTTGCCTTACACCCAGATAAAACTCTCGTTGCAACTGGTCAAGTTGGGAAGGAGCCATATATATGCATATGGGATTCCTATAATGTCCAGACTGTGTCTATTCTTAAAGATGTCCACACCCATGGAGTTGCCTGTCTGGCTTTCAACTCAGATGGACAGGTGTGTCTCTCTTTTTCATTTTTCATTTTCTTTTCTGTACTGATACCTCACTAGTCATCTTGGGTTATAATGTATATATTCTGTAGGCTCAGAAATTCCATCAACCTTACTGTCTCCTCACTGTGGCCTCCTAGGATAATCTGTTTATTTTCCAATTTTTATGTTGTAACTTCAAGCTCTGGGAGGACCCTAGTTTGGGTTCCCCTAAACTTATCATCTGATTAAAAAGCCTTCAGAGAGGAAGTCATAAACTCATGCTGGGAGGGTCACTGAGCAATTCTATTGTTTTCCGTTGTTAGCATTTTATTTGGAATAAGCTTTGGGCCTAACTTTTTGCACAGATGTTAAGCTTTACTCACCACCTTGGTTCCCTTTGCTTCCAGAACATAACATCATTTTCTAATCATTCACTGCGGAGATTCTCTTTGACGCCTTACCAACTCCCAGTTCCTCTCTGTCTGCTCCCCATATTCAGCAAGTCACTGACTGATTCATGTATTTTTAATAGATTCTCTATCGTAACTTTTACATTCATCGTCTCCTTCCCATTCTTTTCCACTCTCCCCTCCCTTTAAGTTCCAAATCAGTATATGCATGGCTTAGTTTAAGCACACTTCTCACTTGAAAAAGAAAAAATGTCATTGCAATGTTTTAAAACAGCAAATCTGAGACACCAACAGAACGAGGCTTATGCTTTGTTTTCTGATCTAATTTTCAGAATCCCCTTGTAATCAGATTGTGCGTGTCGGTGAGATTCCTTCGCCAGACCTTGCACTTTCTATCTCCATACCCTGTCTCGTTCTACCTCTCCACCTCAAGTGCCCTACCAATTCTTTTCTGTCCCTTTAACTCATTCAAAGGTCTCCTTGAAACTTTCCCCCTTCCCCAGTGAAATTTTCTTTTTTCCTTAATTTTTTTGGGAAAGATCTATAAAGTTATGGAGGCCTGACCAGTTTATAAGAAATTCAGTTATATTTTAGGACTTGATCCAGTTTGATTTTTTAAAAACAACTTATACTTGGTTTTATCTGCTATTTTTGAGGAAACTGATGATTATCTGTTCATTTTTCTTTCTATAAGTTTGCTACTTATGTAGAACCCCAATATGTGTTTTTTCGAAAATTTTGCTGCTCTGTAATCCTACCTAGCTTAGTCAGGTTGATGCACATAATTTATTGTACTTACAATAAGAGAAATAACTGTATTGAGCTGGAGCGATAGCACAGCGGGTAGGGCATTCGCCTTACAAGCGGCCAACATGGCCGACCCGAGTTTGATTCCTCCGCCCCTCTAGGAGAGCCCGGCAAGCTACCGAGAGTATCCGATATGCCAGACACAGTAACAACAAAGTCTCCAATGGAGACGTTACTGGGCCCGCTCGAGGAAATCGACGATCAACGGGAGGGCTTTTACCTTACCTTACCTTAATATTTATTCAGACTTGTAGGTATTGACTCTCTGATTAAATTGTGTTACACTTTATATATGTTACTGTGTACAAGTGAAAATGTGTGTCTCAATGTGTACTCACATGCAAATTTTAAAATTTTGTTTTGGAAGCAGTCACTATTCAAAATTTTTTCTGAAGCATCTTGAGAAAAATGTAATGGTACAGAAAAAAATTCACTTAGCTTTAAATTTCTTTTTTTTTTAAAGTTATTTTGTGTTAGAATCTAGTTATCCTTTTAAGGTGCTATTTTGAAGAAGCCAGGGCTGGGGTGGACTGCATGGCACTTAACTGTCAGTTGAGAAAAATAACCTTCTATTTGTTTGCCATGATGAATATCATGGATTGTTGATGTTTATTGCATTAAGTCTGCCTTGTTCCCTGAACAGAATTTCCTGGAATCAAGTGGTATTTAGAAAATGACAAATGGGCCATCACCTCACAAGCAACAAAAGGCAATAGAAATGCTTTTCAGTCTGTCACAACAAAAGAATAAAATGGATATCTTCTGAATCTTTCTCAATCCCAAAATGTGGGTTTTAACTTTAGTTCCCATATTATGTTAACTGTGTTTTTCTGTATAAAGAAAAGAAAATACTGAGTGGAATGAGATTTACCCACTTAAAATTTAAAACCCATTTAAAAGACTCCCATGCTTTATAATTTCCATTTCTAGAACCCTCAGTTAAAAATTAAAACCCAAATCTCCCTTCTTAAGGGCACATTTAAAAGCCTCCAGCTGAGTATTTTATAATCAGTATCCCTAATGAAAACCATCTTTAGTAAAGGAACATGAATAATCCCTACAAAGCAACTCATGTATACATTTAGCCATTTTGGGCTTTCTTTTGTTCTATATACATTTGTACATGTACTTTTAAACATACGCCAAGAACATTAACTCAGATATTCTCATATTTAGGTAGTAAATAAACCTTTAAACCTTTGTCTTAACCTCATGGCTTAAATTATTTCACCAATCCACACAAGAATCTTACTATGTAGAGAGATAAAATAGCTTACACCCATTTTGTACATGAGAAAGCTGATGGTATATGGAGTTAATTGGTTTTCCAAGGTTTTGTATACTCACAAAGGCAAAAGATCTCCTCCCAGAGATCTCTAAACCAGAGCTCCTTCCAATCCAAACCACACTCAGAAGTGTGCCTTGCAGAAAGCTCTGATTTGGAACTTCCTTTCTTTGTTTTGTTTTGCAGGCTTGGTTTTGGTTTTCCTGATACATGTTTTGACACTTTAGGTTTTGTTCATACTCATATATATTGAATTTTCTTTTCCCTTTGAGGATGTTTGGATCTGACCTCATAGAACTTAGATTGGGGATGAAGTATATTACTCATACTAGTTTTAAATATCCTCCTTCAGTCACTTTAATTGTGTAATCATGACAATTCAGAAGAAATGAAATTAATGTTCATCTATGGGCTCTCTTCTCTATATACATGAAATTGTTTATTTTCAGTAGTTTGGTGAGGTATGTAGATGATAGAATCCTAGATGCAAATTTCACATTAGAATCTTATTTAAAAATTGAACCCTGCCTTCAAGTTTCTATGTTTTTTATCTCTACACAGAAATTTCATGAGATTTTGCACTTATATTCTCTGTTTTGAAGGAAAAAAGTGAATTGTGCTTTTTCATTTATGTAATTTCAGTATATGACAAGTCATCTTCTATGATATCTTTAAGTTTTGGATATAAAAATGAATCTTGAAAAATACTTTTTTCCTAAAGAGTTTAATGTCTGTTTCATAGTAAGTTAATTACCTGTTGAAATATAAGAGGGAAAATATCTCCATCATTTTCAGCTATTAAGTTATTGTTCTTATTTTAGCGTTTGGCTTCTGTGGGATTGGATGCCAAAAACACAGTCTGCATTTGGGACTGGAAAAAGGGAAAACTTCTGGCCTCGGCCACTGGCCACTCTGACCGGGTAAGACATTGTTGAATCCAGCCATGTAAAATGTAAATGAGGTAGCTATTCAGAGTTGTAAAATTTTTCAGTTTAATCACTTTACCACATGTAAATTTTTCCAACATATACAAACTTAAAACTTGCTATTTTATTTTCAATAAATATCAATGATTAATAGCTATCAAATAACTAAAAATATCAATGATTGATATTTTTGATTAATCAGATGCTTTATTTAAATTGTTAACTGCTGTTTTAGAGATAAAGCAAATTTTTGATACTGGAATTTTACTCTCAAAATCAAAATAGAGTTGAATTTGAAATTGGATGTAGAGTTTAGATGTATTAATTTATAAGTGGAAATAATTGTTAGAAAATAATATTCACAAGTTTAAGTCTTATTTGTATGAAGACTGAGACTGACGCGCTGCCTACTGCGCTAAGAAGGCGATAGCACAGCGGGTAGGGCGTCTGCCTTGCACGCAGCCAACATGGCCGACCGGAGTTCGATTCCTCCGCCCCTCTCGGAGAGCCCGGCAAGCTACCGAGAGTATTCGATATGCCAGACACAGTAACAACAAAGTCTCCAATGGAGACGTTACTGGGCCCGCTCGAGCAAATCGATGATCAACGGGAGGACCTTTACTTTACTTTACTTTACTGTATGAAGACAACAACAACTTTGTCATTTTTGTTATATTTTAGAAATGAACAAAAATTGTGGCCTTATTCATATTGAAGTCAGTATGATCAGAAATGATCATTTCATAGTTGGCATGATAGTATATGAAGTAGATATATGAACTAACTGGCCAAAATATATTTGTCCATTGTCTTGCAGAATTAAAATAATTTTATTATTTCTATTTTCCAGTTTTAAAAATAATTTGAGTTTTATGTTGACGTCTAGTTGTTTTATATTTCTGTACAATATAGCCATAATAAATCCTAATTAAATATTTATTTTACTGTCTCCGGTTTAGTGTAAACTCAAAAATTATTTTTACTTTTGAAATTATTTAATTTTTTACTTTGTGGGTCAAATCTGGTGATACTCAAGGGCTATTCCTGGCTCTTCACTCAGGAATCACTCCTGGAGGTGCTTGGGACCATAAGGAATGCCAAGGATCAAAATCATGTTGGCTGTGTGCTAGGCAAGTGCCTTGCCCACTCTACTATTTTGTTTTTTTGGGACCACACCCAGTGGTACTCAGGGCTTGCTCCTGACTGTGTTCAGGTATCACTCCTGGTGGGACTCTGGAGACCATATGGAATGCCAGGGATTGAACCTGGGTCAGCCATGTGCGAGGCATTCACCCTATCCACTGTACTATTGCTCCGACCTCTAAAAGTTATTTTTATATGAATGGTACATTCATCTAGGGAAAATATTAATTTAAAGGAAATTTTATAGTTAATGCTATCATTTTGGGCCAACTGTTCTACTGAATTAGATTCTCAGAATAACACTAATAAAATAACACTAATGAAACTCCAGTATTAGAGGTGGCCTATCTCTCCTTGGCCCAGTGCATCCCATTCGTTGATATGCGAAGGAATTCCCTAGGAACATTTTATAGCTCTGTGATGATCAGACTCTGTCCTCAGGTTTTAGTATTAACTTATTGATCAGTAACTTATTTCTTGGTTAGTATGCTTAGTAATTGCGGTTGAGAGTATTTTTGATACCTAAATTTTGGATTATGTTAAGATCTCATAAAATACATTGAACTGAACTAGGGTGTTATGTGGATTTCTTATCCCTCTGTTAATGTGTCATAATTTCCAGTTAGGGGCAGATCATAAAACTTGCAGTGCTTCTCTAGTGAAAAAGTGTAGTCTTTTTCTTTTTTTCTTTTTTTGCATTATATGGGGAGTGACATTAACTTTTTTATTCTTGTATTCTTTTTTAAAAAAAAACCTTTTTGTATTGAATCACTGTGAGATAGACCATTACAAAGCTGTTTATGATAGGATTTCAGTATATAGTGTTCCAGCACCCATCCCTCCACCAATGTACATTTCCGAGCACCAGTGTCCCCAGGTTCCCTCCCATCACCCCCACCCCCCTCCGCCTTTATGGCAGGCGCTTTCTCTCTCTCTTTGTCTCTCTCTCTCTCTGTCTCTCTCTGTCTCTCTGTCTCTGTCTGTCTGTCTGTCTGTCTGTCTGTCTCTCTCTCTCTCTCCCCCCTTTTGGGTGCTTTGGTTTGCAATATTGATACTGGAAGGTTATAAAGAATATCTCTTACCTACTTTTAATCCTCAGATCTTGTCCAGCATGGTCATTCCCGGCTATTACTGTCATACTGGTCTCTTCTCTATCTTATTTACCCTCAGCCCCACATACTCTAGTGGTTAGTTCCAACCACTGACTAGTCCTCCTGACCCCTGTTTTCCATGGCCATGAATATTAGTCTTCCACTATATATATTTTTACATACCACAAATAAATTCAGTCATTCTGTATCTGTCCCTCTCCTTCTGACTCATTTCACTCAGCATGATATTCTCCATGTCCATCCATTTATAGGCAAATTTCATGACTTCATTTTTTCTGACAGCTATGTAGTATTCCACTGTGTAGATGTGCCATAGTTTCTTTATCCATTCATCTGTTCTTGGGCACTCAGGTTGGAGAAACTGTAATCTTAAAAACCTAGAATGTTCTCATGAAATACTTTTAGAATACTGTTTTCCCTGACTCCATAATTTGTATTATACATAGTTTCACTCTTCATTCTAATACCAGAATGAACTATTCTCGACTTACTATGGGCAGTTATCTTTAATATTATTCTAATGATAAAATATTTCATCTCTAGAATTTATTTATATAATGAGTATTTATAACCTGAAAAATGATTTTCATTATTCTCTCATCCTAACAAAAGAGATAGTGTTACTCATTTTAGAGAAGCTAAGGTTAAAATTAGAAATGCTAAAATTTACCTGATCACACATAGCTAAAATGGATTATTTAATTTTATTGGTGCTTGGTACTTGTACCAAGTGCTTTTCTTCAGTGCTCTTTATGTAGTCCATAATTGGTCCTCTGTAAAGGGAGATAATCAATCATTTTTTTCTCTCTGATGATTGGTTTCTATCCTTGTGTGATATGAGCAACCTAAGAATTTTCTAAACTCTGGCTCTGACAATTGGTTCTTCTCTTTATTTATACTTCACAGAATGTTGTCCATGGACCACCAACACCAAAATCTCCTGAAGTCTGTTTTTAAAATGCAGCATTAACAATAGGTTGCCATATAGCTATCATTGCTGCCGATAAATCCTTCATATTGTGTTGAGAATTGTTCACGTCTATAATTACTAGTAACTGTTAACCCTGCTTCAGTTGGCTGTTAGAGATTTTTTATTAAAAATAAAGCCTCTTGGGGCTGGAGTGATAGCACAACGGGTAGGACATTTGCCTTGCTTGCGGCTGACCCGGGTTTGATTCCCAGCATCCCATATGGTCCCCTGAGCACCGCCAAGGGTAATTCCTGAGTGCAGAGCCAGGAGTAACCCCTGAGCATTGCCGGGTATGACCCAAAAATAAAAAAAAAATAAAGCATCTTTTCTTGTAGTTTTTATTGAAAAGCTATCTTTGAAGTGTTTTATTACTATTTTACTATTGTATATTCCTACTAAGGTTTGATTACCCTAAATTGGCTGAATTTGTTTAGCGCTGATATAAATTTAAAATATGACATCAGTGTATCTCAATAATTGTGATGAATTACCTCTATATTCAGGTCAAAGGTAAGTTGACATAAGGTATCAAATATATATTTGCAATACCTGGCTTAGTCAAAGAGCCAAATTCTCCATTTTTCAGCTTATACAGGTAACACTGTGTTCTAGGTGTTGAGTAAACTGTACTATACTGGTAACTGGACTGGTGTCCAGAAGGTTTAAACTCATAAAAGACCAACAGAGCGATTTTTAATTTTTTTAAACAGATCTTTGATATTTCCTGGGATCCATACCAGTCAAACAGAGTGGTTAGCTGTGGAGTGAAGCATATAAAGGTAATGTTGTTATTTAAAAAATTATTTTAATATCTTGTGTGAAAAAAATCTTATGATTTAATATATATAATTTTTCTGGGAAACTTCTCACCTTTATATTTTCTCCCTTAAAGTTTGTGATGCAGGGCTGGAGTGTTAGTACAGTGGGTAGGGCATTTGCCTTGCATGCAGCCAACCTGGATTCAATCCCCAGCATCCCATATGGTCCCCTGAGTAATAATTCCTGAGTGCAGAGCCAGGAGTAACCCCTGATTATCGCTAGGGGTGACCCAAAAAGCAAAAAAAATTTTTTTGTGTGATGCTTAGAGGTTACTCCTGGTTATGCACTCAGGAATTACCCCTGGTGGCAGTTGGGGACCATTGGGGATGGAGATTGAATATAGGCTATAGGAGTGACTTGCCTGCTCTACTCTCTCTCCAGCCCTAGTTTTAATCAGTTTTTAAATCATAACACATAATCCTGAAATTTATTTGAAAATACTGTGTTTCATATTCTGTTAAATTGTTATTGTGTTCTAGCAGATTTAGACATTACTTTCTAAGCAAAAAATGAACACTTTTTATTTACCTCAAATAAATATTCTTTTTGTTTGTTCTTCTGATACACCTGGGAGTGATCAGGGATTACTCCTTGCTTTTGCCCTCAGGAATCAGTCCTAGTGGTGTTTGGGAGATCATATGGGACGCTGGGATGATCAGCCTGGTCGGTCATATGCAAAGCAAATGCCTTACTCGCTATCCTATCTCTCCATGTTCCCACACATATGTATATATGTATATGCATATATGTACATATACATGTTTTTTTGTTTAGAAAGAAGTCCACAATAGATTTCAGCAAACTTTGACTAACTTTTACTACCTATATTCTAGTATGCTCACCTTTCTTCCCTTTAACTTGCCTTAAAGACAAATCAACAATTTAAGTCACAAGTTGAACGCAAAATCTTTGATGTGCTCCAGGAAAATATTTTTATGTGAAATTGTTGGGGCTAGGATAAAATCGTTTTCAGGTTCTAAATCCCCAGTGTCTGGCGAACAGGCAAATTACAATATTTGAAATGTATGCTTGAAAAACTGTAACAGTTGAGTATTATCTGCTTGGTTGGTTTTTACAGCAAATGAACCACCAGGTTTGTGGATATTGTTTATCCTTCTCCTTTCTCTACTCTGAGATAGAGGGACCTGGGGGATTACCTAGAGCCAGAAGAATCCCAAGCAAAACCTGCTTTACAATCTGTGAATGGAGATTGGAGAAAGCAAATATTGTCTCTCATTTGGTGTGAATTTAATGGTGTGTTGCTACCACAAACTATCACTGTTTTTCAAATAAGAAGCGCTTCTCAAGAGAGAAACTATTACAGAGATTTGTCGTTTTTCTGTAGCTCTGTGTCTATTCTGACATCTGCATTTTTCAGCAAGGCATCTAATTATTTGGTATGTTTCTTCTTGTCTTCTAACTCTATGATTTTGAAAGAATTTTTGTGTATGATGAATGGTATTTATACTCTTTGTGGTTGTACCTCTAGAAATAATTCAATAACTTTGGTCAGAGGTATAGAGTCTTATGTTAAATTATGATTACCAAATGATTGCCTCCCTTTTCATCTTCATTTGTGGGAGATACAGTGAGAAAGGAAAAATACCTGCCATGTTATAGACAAGTACTTTGACATGTTTATACAAACAGTAGTATGTTTTATGTCTACTAGTTTGTTCAACTATGAAGTTAATACTTAAATTCTGAGTGTTTCCCCAAAATGTACCCCTTTTATCCTTTGGTGTATTGTATACTTTAGCACCTTTTTCATTTAAAAAAATATTAATGCTCAGTGCCTGAGGATATGGCTCCCAGTGGTGGAACACATACCAGGCATGTGCAGGGTCCTGCATTTGATTCCTTGTGCTGCATGAGACTACAAGCATTGCTAGTGCTAGGTGTAGCCCTAGTGGTGCCCAGCCCCACTAGTTATGACTAATCCTTTCAACACCTTTAAACCAAATACAACAGGAGTGGCCTCCACCCCAGCAGTGCATGATGTGACCCTATATTTAAAAACTGTTAATACTCAAAGAAATAAAGCACAGAACTGACACGTGCCTCCTTTATGAGAGGAGTTCTTATTATCTCAAATGGTTCCACTTCTTCTCCCTAACAGCCAACTTCCCTTAGCTGCTTGAGCCCTAGCCCTCCTGAGAGTATACCGTCCTTGGAGCTTGTCTGGAATAATCCGGTACTCTCACAAGATCTCGTTTCCCTTCCTGCAGATGCTCAACACCTGAGCGTTGTCTCTGACCTTCCCCCACACATGTAGCTCCTGCCATCTGGATTTGCTTAATTCTGTTCTCCCAAACCTCAGTGCAGTTTCTTTCCTTCATTGATCCTAACCCTATTTTTGCCTGTTCCCATTAATTCAACATAATTATCTTTGAATTCCCAAGTAATATGTACTTGTATGTCCTCTGAATGTGTTTCCTTAAAATAATCCTTTCTTGATTTTTTTCTATCTATCTACCTCATTAAATTTTTCATGGTAATGAGCAAGATTTCAATATGAGGGCTGAAAAGAAATACAATGGGGGAAGGTGGATGCTTTGCATATAATTGACCCAGGTTCGATCCCTGGCATCCCATATGGTTACTGCTAGCCATGATCCCTGAATAGAGAGCCAGAAGTAAGCCCTGAGTGCATTTGGATATGTACCCCAAGCAAAATTTTTCTCTATTTTTTCTTGTATAACCTCTGTTAAATTCTCACCCTCAGCAAGCCACTTATATTTTCTTTCTCTCACTATCCAAAAGGGGACAATAGATGCTGATGAAAACCAAATAATAACATGGGGGAGAGGCCTTTTAAACTTTGGGTGACTGTATACATGGCAGTCAGTCTTACCAGTGCAAAAACATTTAAAAATGATGTCAAAACAAAATATTTTATTTCTACTTAAGCTTGGGATCTTCCGGCTGTTTTAAAATAGTTCAAGCTTTATGCTTTTGGCTTTTCACTTGATAAATTATGCAACAAATCCAGAATCAGTTATTTGGCTCATATTTGGAAACATTACTGAGTAATATTTTTACAACAAAAATTTTTATAGTTATAAATTATTTTCAAATGTATATCATATATGAATATATTTAAGAAATGCTTAGAAAATATGCCAACATTTTAACATTGAATTGACAAAAAAATTAGATAAAAAGTATAATCCACCTCCTATATTCCACAACACTGATATTTTTGTGTTAAGGCACTGTTAAATAGTGAGTAAAGTTATGGATTTTGGGTACTTTTGAAGTTTTGGGAGGGGTGTTTGTTTTATGGGTCACACCTACAAATGCTCAGGGGTTACCTCTGATTTTGCCTCAGGAAACACTCCTGAAGATCTCAGGGAACCCTGTGAGATGCCAAGGATCCAACCCAGGTTGGCCACATGCAAGGCAAATTCCCTACCCCATGTACTATCTCCTGGTCCCTATTTTTGAAGTTTTAAGAATTTTTTGGTTGTTTTTAAAATGGGCTTTAAACATCTGGACAGATTGTTTTAGAGTTCCCTGCTGTCTGGAGAAACAAGTTAAATTATATGTTTAGTTAATGTAAAATACATGAACTGTACCAAAACATAAACAAATATCAATTAAGTGATGCTTTAGAATACTGTGTTTTAGGATCAATTTAATTTATCACTTTCTAGTTTTGGACACTATGTGGAAATGCCCTAACTGCAAAGAGAGGGATATTTGGCAAAACGGGGGATCTTCAGACCATTCTTTGCCTTGCATGTGCCAAAGAAGACATCACCTACTCTGGTGCTTTAAATGGTGACATCTATGTCTGGAAAGGGCTTAATCTAGTCCGCACCATTCAAGGAGCACACAGTGTAAGTATTCTCTTATGGAAATTTGGGATGACTTACTTAATAAGAACACAAATCTCTGCTGATATTTTTATCCGTTGCTTTTAGCATCATTAGACTCTGCTCCAAAAATTATTTTTGTTAACCTAGGAGTAATAAATATTTTGAAAACATTAATTTAATTGGCTTTTACCTAAATTGTTTATGGGTTGATTATTGTTGATATTCATCAATAGCAGTTTGACAGAAAACTAGCACTATTAGATTATCATTTTCGTCTTACAGACCAGAGTTTTTCAATTTTTAATCAACTTATGAGGATCTTCAGAAGATCTTGTTAAAATGCTGATTCTGACTCTGAGATGAATGTACATGTTCCTTGCCTCTTAGAAGCAGGGCTTAGACAACTACTGTTTTTTAGGTTAGATTTTTCCTCCCTGAATGATTGAACATCATCTCCACATCTATATCATAGTCTCTCAAAATACAAATGAAAACTATTGTTTTTCTCTTTTTGATGGGCTGCTCTGTTAGAACAAGGGCAAACTTCTATTAACTATGCTCAACTCTGCCAAAAATTAAAATGATTACATTGCTGTATCTACAGATGATAAAATGGAAGTACCCAGAAGAATGGGGAGATGATATGAAAGGTAAAATCTATGTAATAAATGGAAATTTGGTAAAATATTATTGAAATTTCAACAGAACTTTAGCTTATTGCCTCCAAATTGATTCCCTTTTACTCTAAATATGTAAAAAAGAGAGTATAAGCAACTTAAAGTGAAAGTTATTAAATTTTACACTTTTTTTGTTGAAGACCAAGCTTCTTCACTAATTATGAAACATCTCTCAAAACAAAGGAAGGCATTTGTCCTAAATCATAGAAGCAGTTGCCTTAGTAATCTGTCTGCTCTGTACATTGAGTTTTATGTTAACATTGTACTCTTGTAGCAATTATGAACAGGCTAATTCATATTTTTCATGAAAAAACATCTTTAGGTTATGAAAATTATTGATATTAAAAATACAACTATAAACTTTACTTTTAATGAAACTGGGGTGCTTTATGGAACTCAATGAGATGTATTTCAGGTACCTTTGTACCTGTAAATATGTTTATTTTCTTAGCTTATTATTGTTTCATAGTTCTCTGCAACAATTTATACAAAATACTTCTATTATCTTTTCTTGGTAATACTCAGTTGTCATGAAGAGAAGTTTTTGATATCTTGATGTCTGCTTTAACCAAGATATTCCTGAATAAATTTTTTACAACCTACCATTTAGTAATGTCAAAAGGACATTTGGACTTGTTTATTTTGGTGGTTATTATCACTAATTTTTAATCTGGCTAAGATGTAAAATATTATGAATGACTGCTTGAAATATTTCTTGTTTTTATATTACAAATAATTTGTTTTGTTTTAATAACAAGATCCAGCTATCGTGATAGTTTGATTGCATCATTAAGTATTATTTATCTTAATCAACAGGCTGGAATATTTAGTATGTATGCTTGTGAAGAAGGCTTTGCCACTGGTGGACGAGATGGGTGTATACGATTATGGGATACTGATTTCAAACCAATAACCAAAATTGATCTCAGGGAGACAGAACAAGGATATAAAGGTAATATGGAAATACCCAAAACTCTAACTCTAAATTTGCTTTGTATTCTTTCCCACTTTGTTGGTTGTAGGATTTGAGGTAGATTTGATAAATTTATTAGATACCATATCAAAAGTATGCTAATAATATGTGTCTAACCATTTTTCCTAAATTGCATAAAGAGAACTGTTATGTACTACCAGTGGTCCTGTCCAAAAATAAACAATATTACAGTAAAGCTATTTACTTGTTGATATCTCAGGAATTGGAATGTTCTGAACAGTTTGGTCAACCTAAATATGATTGTCTTAAACCTCTAAAAATTAACTAGTAATTAAAAGACTTGCAGGCTATCGAATGTAGCCTGCCCACAGGGCAGAGTCTGGCAAACTCCCCATGGCATTCCAAATATGCCAAATACCAGTAACAATGATGGGTCTCATTCTCCTAAATAGCCTTGAATATAATCTCAGGGCTAGGATGAAAGAGACGTTACTGGGGCCTGCTCGAGGCAATCGATGAATAACAGGATGATGAAATGATGAAAATGAAATTAAAAGACAAATTATTCTTATTAAATATTAAATAAGTTTTATTAAATGAGAAGAAAGAAAATTTTATGCATTTAAGAGATAACACAGGAATCTCCAGAAAGAAGACAGTGCTTTATGAAGTAAAAGAAAGGAAGTACACCCTAAGGTGGTTGCGGATAATGCCAAAGAAGAATTCTGAGAAATTACTTTTTAAGAATAGCTTTATAGGGGACCAGAGTGATAGTACAGAGTATAGGGTGATTGTCTTGCATGTAGCTGACTTGGCTCTAATGACCTGCACTCCATGTGGTTCCCCAAGCCTTACCAGGAGTGATCTCACTTAGCACATAGTGTGGCTACAATGACAGTTAAAAATTATGTTTTCCTGGACTTCAAAAATCAGAAAAGAGCTTGAGATAGCTAGAGAAACTGAAAAGATAATAAAGTATTTAAGGTAAAACTTCACCAATTAGAGGGCTAGATGGCAAGAGTGGTGGGAAGGTTATAACACATATTTTACATACACTCTTCCTGAATGTCCCATTGATGCCAAAATTATACATGAATAGGACAGTCTAAGCATTCCAATGAAAGGTAAATAACTGAGCAGAAATTTGAGCTGATACCCAAGACACAGACTTTTCAGTATAAATCGAACTGAGTTCAATTACAAAACCAAAGACACAAGAAATAATATTTTCCAAAGGAATAAAATCGAGACAGAGACTCAGTAAAGTATGTATGTGTGTATATAATTATATTTAAACATCTGAAATATTCACAATTACTCAACAAAATAATTAAATAACATGGCCCATTTTCAAAGGAAAATATTAATATAGAACAACTCTTATTTAAGCCAAATGATTCGGTTGAACAAAAAAAATCAAACCTCTATTATAATTGCATTCAACAAAGAAATGGAAAATTTCCTAATGTAAGAACAGATATATAAATCTCAACAAGTCAGTCTTATATATATTTTTTAATTGAATCACAGTGAGATACAGTTACAAAGTTGTTGATGATTGGGTTTTAGTCATAATGTTCCAACACCAGTCCTTTCACCAGTGTACATTTCCCACCACCAATGTCCTCAGTTTCCCTTCCTCCTGCCACCCTCTGCCTCTATGGCAGACACTTTTCTTTTCTCTCTCTCTGTCTCCCTCTCCCCCATCCCCTCTCCCTTCCTCCCTCCCTCCTTCTCTTCCTCCCTCCCTCCCTCTCTTCCTCCCTCCCTCCACGTTTTGGGCATCATGGTTTAAAATACAGATACTGAAAGATTATCATGTATATCTCTTTAGTCAATTATATTTCTAAAGGAACCAAATGAAAATATTTAGTGTTGAAAAATATTATCATCCTGTTGTTCATCGATTGCCTTGAGCAGGCACCAGTAATGTCTCCTTCGTCCTAACCCTGAGATTTTTAAGTGCCATATTCAAGGCTCTTTCAGGGCTAGGAGAATGAGACCCATCATTGTTACTGGTATTTGGCATATTGGGTATGCCACGAGGAGTTTGTCAGACTCTGCCGTGTGGGCAGGTTACATTTGGTAGCCTGCCAGATTGTCCAAAAGTAAGAATGAGATCATAAGTTGTCCGCGTGCTTCCCAGGAGCTGGGTTTTGTAGTCTCTGAGTCTTGACCGTTGATGGGATTACACGGTGCTGGGGGGTCAGTTGGTGGGTGTGACCCCTGCCTACTGGAAGATGGAAGATCTGGATGGAGAATGCTCAGCCCCGATCCGAGCAGGCTCAAAGAGAACAGCAGTGAAAAATACAGTGCCTGGAAATTAAAGTTTTTCTAACCTGGGGCCAAAGACATAGTGCAGTGGGTAGGGCACTTGCCTTTGTACACGTCTGATCTGGATTTGGTTCCCTGAACCTTCCTGGAGTGATTTCTGAATGCACAGCAAGGAGTAAACTTTATGGGTGTATATGATTATGGGATACTGATTTCAAACTGATAGCCAAAATTAATCTCAGGCATACAGAACAAGGACATAAAAGTAACATGGAAATACCCAAAAATCTAACTCTAAATGTTTTTCATATTATTTACCACTTTGTTACATACAAGGTTTAAGATAGCTAATTGAATATAGTATCCAAAGTATTTTAATGACATATGGCTAACTGCCAAGTGTACCCCCAAAAAGAAAAGTAAAAGAAACTTCTTAGACCAGAGAGATAATGCAGTGGGTAAGGTTGCCTAGCATGCAGTCAACCCAGGTTCAATACCTGGCATCCCATATGGACTCCTGAGCCCTGCCAGGAATAATCCCTGAGTGCAGAGCCAGGAGTAACCCCTGAACATAGCTGGATTTGGCCCCAAACGAATAAACAAACAATTCTCTAAACTTAACAGAATGGACATGACAAGAATCAGTAAACTTGAAAATAAAAAGTCCCATTGCTACTCTCCTTTTCCACATCTTACATTTTTAGGTATCTTGCTACTTCCTTTTCCTCATGTAGAAGTTTATACATTTATTAAGACCTGGTTTAGCAGTGATGAATTCATGTAGCTGTTGTTCGTCTGAAAAGTTCTTTATTCTTGTAAGTGATAACCTGTCTTGGTTAGGTGTCATTTCCACTCAGAGTTTTGTATATATTTTGCCTTGTAGCTCATAGTCACATGGGAGTTCCTTTATATTTATTTCTTTTCTTTTCTCTTGCTGCATTTACAATTCATTCTTTGTCTTTGAGTTTTGTCATTTTAATTATGCAATATCTTGGTGTGCCTCTGCTTGGGTTTATTTTATTTGGAACTCTTTGAGTTTCCTGGATCCAGATTCTAATTTCTTTGTAAGTTTGAGGAAGCTCTAAACTATTATTTCTTCATATAAGAAATCTGTCCTTTCTTCTCCTCTTCTCCTGGAATCCCAATAATGTGAGTATTGTGCCTCTTGATACAGTCCTATATAATTTTTATTATCTTCATTGCTTCCAATATTTATTCTTTTTGCTGCTCCTTTTTGAATTTTTTTCACTACTTTTTATTCTAGTTAGGATCTCTCTCTCTCTCTCTCTCTCTCTCTCTCTCTCTCTCTCTCTCTCTCTGCTTTTTGGGTCACACCCAGCGATACTCAGGGGTTACTCCAGGGGACACCTTATGGGATGCTGGGATTCGAATCTGGGTCGGCCACGTGCAAGGCAAACACCATACCCGCTGTGCTCTCACTCCTACCGACTCCAGTTAGGGTCTCTTAAGCTTTTTTCCATTCACAGTGTATTTTCTTCTGAGAAATGCAACACAGGTGAGCACTTCCAGAAGCACTTGGATTCATTGCTTGGTTGATTTTGAATCAGTTTTTACTTACTGTGCATCCAGAAACCTTTTGCATTTTTTGCATCTTCCACATTCACTTAAGCCTCATATGAGGCCATGCCCCACAGTTTGAGAAACTAGATTCTAGGTTCCTGATTTCATTTTCAGCTTCTTCCATTCATCTATTCTGACCTATTCTGACCTCCTTTTTTTTTCAGTTCAGCTCCTAGTCTTTACCTCTATGATTTCTATTTGGACTTTTCTTAGACTTTTGGATTTTCTTGTAGGCCTTTTTGTTGCTCATTTCATTTCAGTGAGCATTATTAGAAATATTGTTTTAAAATCTTCTTTAGGTTCCTTGTATAATCCTGTTCTGTTAGGAGTTCTTTTTAGTTTTGTCTTGATCCTTTAGTGCATCTGAGCTCCTCCATCTCCCTGTGATGCCTGTGTTCTATGAGAGTTGGGTCTGCGTTCAAGCTAACCTGAACAGGGACTGGGAAAACTTGCCTCTGCAGCTGCCTGGCACTAGCTGTTGCACTGTGCCTCCATGGCAACCCAAGCTTTGAGATACCAAGTACTAATTGGGAGCTCAGAACCAAGTTTGACTAGGCCTGGTTGATGACCAGGAGTTAAAGTTTGCCAGCTCCACCAGCCATTGGTCTGCCTTGGTGACTTAGATTGGGGTGTTGTTGGGGAATCCTTGCTGGAGTGAGTTTAAAAGAAGTTTGGAACCTTGATCACAACTTGTGACAAAGTGTGCCTTCCAGGACTGGTGATGAGCAGAGTCTGCCTAGCCTTGGACTGGCCAGGGAACACAGCAGGCTGTGCAAGCTCGCCAACTGGCTATCCTTTGGGAGGTCCACAGGGTTCTCCCTATAGAGGTGAGATTGATTTGCTGGCAGGTCCCCATATTGATTGACATGGGTTGGGTCTGTTTGCCAGGAGTGAACACTTTAGATGAAGTTTATCACCCTCTGTCATGCTCAGCTCTTTGCCAGCTATGTGGAACTCTTCTCAGGGATTTGCTTCAGGGTCTGTTCCTGTGGGGAATGGTTCCCAAGTGCATCCCTAGCACAGTTATCAGCAAGATAGAGAGAGGTTACCAAGACTTGTCAGCAATTTTAACTCCTTTTATTTTTTTGCCGGCCATGTAAGTGTTGTGAGTATAGCATTATAGGTTTAGGGTGTAGATTTTTTTTTCCATTTTTTTAATTGAA